AAATGTTGCAAATGTCCAGGGGGGACTCCATGTAAAGTACCCCGAAATTTTGAAGAAAGTTGCGACACCTCGAGAGGAGCCAGATCGATCGGGAAAATCCATTTTGGAGTAAACCCTACGTGTGGTTTAGGGACTAATGTCGTTCACAGACTGACGGTCAGACGGACGAACGTTTTGCCGTCAATTGTTTTTTCGGTGTCAAGGTCCCAAAAAACAGGGATTTCTGACAACACCACGGCTTAGAGGATTTTTTCCTTAATTTAGCGACTGGATTTATCAACCTTTTTGTTTCAGGGTCCGGCAATGATACTTTTCTGCAAGGGAATCCGCCGTTTATTCGTGAAATAATAAATAAGTGAAAATAAATGGTGCTGAAGCATAAAAAAGGGGGGAAAGGTGGCGAAATGTAGTAATCTCACCAAAAGGTGCAGAAAATTGGTTTTTACTCCGCTTTATTTCATTCCCCAAATACATTTATTAAATTATCAGTATGAAAGTAGCTATATTTTGAAAAGGTGCCACACCTTAAAGTCCTTCCGCAGTTATAAATGTGTTAGCTGGAAAAGAATTATAATTCAATTGATGCATGTCAAATATGTTCCAATACTAACCAACATGTAGGTTAAATCGTTGATTCGATGTAATTTTACGTGTTATTTGATGGATTACCCTTGACATCCTAGCAATATGAAACCACGAGTTCAAGAAATAATACTAATTTATTAAAGTTTTTAACCAGCTCTTAATAAACACACACAAACAAATCCGCATACTTCAGTAGCAACTACCCGTAGTACCTCCCCAAGGATTGTACTGTATAAATAGGTATACTGTGGTATTATTCCGTATATACATACGTGTATGAGAGAGTAAAAACTAGTGATACTGTAGTATTCCATTCTGTAGAATGGTTCCAGTTTTATCGTACTAGTTAATTTTCTAATTTACTTCTTCTGAGCTGGCTTTTCGGTCTTGCTCCATCCTCTTGCCAACTACCATCTATTGCCACCCGAAGTACCGTAAATTAATTCCCAATTTTTCAGTTTGTAAATTGCAGAACTGAAATATTATTTTAAAAATATAATAGAACTCTAAAAACTCAACATTATATAAAGCAAAATCCGTTGAAATTGTTGGAACCGATTCATAGAAAATGGCGTTTAAGCATTACAGCAAATGCGAAATTTGAAGCTCTTTTTTACAAACATTTTATGCGTTTTCGAAAAACTTTATTTTTTTGTCATTTGAAGCACTTCTACTCATTAATGCAATAATGTACTCAAATTGCTGGAAATATACATATTAAAGGCGTGAGAGATATTTAAAAAATATATATTTGCATATTTAAAAATAAAAAGAATAATGCAAAAGTTGTATGCCATTTATTCAGTTCAATTAGCTACCCAAAAGAAAATTTTGAAGAAAAAGTTTGCACCCTATTTTTCAGAAAATGCCTAATTTTGAGTTTGTTTTTACAGAAAACTTTTGATTTTTCGGGAAACTTTGTATCACATCATTTAAAGTATATTTTCTCGTAAATGCAATATTGTAAACAAATCACCGTTAATGCAAGCGCGCAAACTAGTGGGGGTGCAGAACGGTATAGACATTCTCGTTCTAGTTAGTTTTCTAATTTCTTTGGTCTAGTCTCGAATTTCAGAGTTGCTCCATTCTCTTGCCATCGCTATCCAAAGTACATTTTTGAAATAAATTCACAATGTTTCGGGTTCCTAATAGAAAAACTGAAATATTATTTAAGAACAGTAAAATATTGTCGTATAACAATATATCCGTTGAAAACGTTGGTGTCATTTTGAAGCAAATAGCATTTAAGCATTACTGCAACTGCAAAATTTTAAGCTCTTTTTCACAAAAATCTTTCGAATTTTCAAAAAACTTCATTTGAAGGCATTTTAAATTCTTAAGCTTTCAAATGCAGTAATGTACGAGTATACTAATCGCTGGAACTGTACATATTAAAGACGTGAGTGATATTTAAAGAAAATCATGTGTGTAATTGATTTAAAAACAAAAGAATTCTGAAAAAATAATTTTGTCATTTTAAACAATGCAATTAGTATTATCTGTACGAAAAGGTTAAAGAAACAATTTGGACTGGTTTTTAAGAAAATTTTGTGGATGTACGAAATTTTGTGGAATTACTGAAAATAAAAACTTTTGCAATTTTCGAAAATTCAGAGTTAACTGAGAAAATCAGATCTATGTCGCTTATATAAGTGTATTTTACTCTATTATGGAAAAAAAATTTAAGAAAAAATTTAGATCCATATTTGAGAAAATTTTGAAAATACGTCAAGGACTTCATATAAAGAACCCTTATTATTGAACGTTTTTCATAATTGGAGAACTTCGACTCGGACTTCGACAGGGAAAATTCAATTTGGAAAAAATCCTACAAATTGTTTAGGCACTGGCGTTGTTCATATACACTAGACATATGGACTTCTTTTGTTAATCGATTTTGCGGCATCAATGGCTCACAAAACAAAAATTCTGAAAATACCACGTTTTGAAGGACGTTTTTTCTAAATTGATCAACTGTATTTATCCAGTTTTAGTTATCAGATTAGAGTTTTTCTGTCGAAAATTCCTTTTGTTTGTTTTTTGCCCAGCATCACATAGATTTCTCTCTTCTACGTAACCGGTATCGAGAAAATAACTAGTGATGCAACAGAATGGCACTTTCTCGTACATGGGACTTTCTTGTACTAGATATCTATTTTATTAGGTCTGGACAAACTATTCGGACGCAACATTTCTCTTGCCAGCAGCCATCTATCGACGCCATTTTTTAAAAAATTTCTCATTTTTTTCGGAATCCTCATATTTGAATCAAAATATTACGATAAACATATTAAAGAAGAGTAACACCTCGTCCTATATTGTAACCTTTACCTATCTGTGGTTGAGATACGAACGCTACATTCAAATCGCACGCGCAGTACCCTCTGCAGGAGGTTGGAAACCCCATATTTATATACTCGTATATGCTGAGATAATTGGATTGTAGTGTTCGTGCCGACCTACGCGGTAGGGAGGAACGGAAAAAGAAGGCTTTGAGACGCAAGAAAGGAAGGTCGAAAAGGTGTGCTATTGGGGGTGGTGAGGACGAAGAGAAACGGACACTGAAGCTGCTGCTCCGAGGTTTACGGGCGTCCATTTCTTACATCGCTGTGTAAGAACCCGGATCTGCGCGGAGACGTATATTCGGCATCACCAGCCCACTGACTGTCGCAAGTTTCGCGCCGTTGGGTGGGGGCGAGGCCCCGAGAAGAGGTCAGTAATAACAGTCTTTCCTAATTTTTCTCAGTATTTCCGTAAAGCCCCAAGCCACCCCTTTAACGATTAGATTCTGTGGTTGCGTGTTATGAGCCCTTAGTGTAAATAGCGGTCTTTATACACTACATCAGTAAAAAGTAAAAGCAGAGCCCATTTAAGTGAATGTTATAATGAGTGCTCAGAGCGAGCAGGTAACTTGAACTTTACAAACTAAGCTTGATGTTCCCTTTATATTGTTATCAAAGCGTTAAAAATTGTATCATTGTATTTGAATTTGTTAATTTGTCAATTTTTTTTCAAGAGAGAAGATAAACTTTATGCTGGATTGATTTTGTTATTGTACAAAGGGCAATTTAGTTTAAGCGTTACTGTAAATAAGAAATTTGAAGCTCTTTTCTCAGAAATATTGAAAAGCTATGAAAAATATTGAACAATTTTGAAAAACTTCATTGCAAGACATTTAATGCACCTTAACTCACAAATGCAATAGTAATCACAAATCGGTAATGTGCTCATTAACTGCGTGAGAGATATTTAAAGAAATATACATATTTGTGTAATGTTTTTTATTAACAAGTGGATACCTTCAAAATGAACATTGTCATTTTAAATAGTGCAATTAGCATTATCCTTTGGAAAGGTCGGAAGAAAAAAAATAGGAACAGTTTTTGAGAGAATGGCATTTTGGCGGTTCTCAAAATGCAGAATTGTTACAGAAAACTGTTGCGGTGTTACTTAGAGCATGTGTACTCATAAACATAATAATGTAAACAAATCGCGGCAAACGACGTGAGGGACAAGTACAAAATATTACATTTCTGTAATGTTTGAAAAAACAAAATAGTATATCAATATCGCGCTTATGTCATCTTACCGAGTACATATAGCACTATCCCTAGCCAAAGTTTAAAAAAATTCGGAGTTATTTTCATGAAAATCTTGTTCTCTTTATTTTTAAAATTGCATCTATTGCACCCAAAGTACGAAAATTTTTAAAGAAACGTACATGAGCTTAATTGAAAAACTTACTATAGAGAAAATATTTTACTTGAAGAAAAAATCTCTATCTTCAATTTTGTAGTTGTAGAAAGCCGGCAGAAAAATTCATACTTTTACAAGTTTCGAAAATTCAAAGTTCACAGTGAAAATCTAGCCTATGCCACCTTTATAAGTGTATTTTACTCTATTCTTTCAAAGAGTTTAAAGAAAAGAATTGGAGTCATTTTTTAGAAAATCTTGAAAATGTCTCGGGGGTTCCATGTTAAATACCCCCAAATTTTGAAAAAGTTGTTCAAAATTTCAACTTCTAGAGTCGGTCAGATCGACCGAGGAATATCAATTTTGGAAGAAATCCCATAAATGGTTTAGGCGCTAGTGGTGTTCACTCACGAACAGTCAGACGAACAAACAAGCGGACCTAAAAGAACACCTCTTTTTCGGTATCAGGAGATCCCAAAACGTGTATTTCCGTTGAAATCTCGAAATCGATTTTCCACAGCATTACATAACTTTCTCTTTAGTATGAATATTGCCTCCGTACATACGTACTTATACGGGAAAGTCAAATAGGTATTAAAAATAAGAATGCCTGAATTTGACATCATTACCTCAGTAAGGGGGCATACAGAAAAGTAAATCTCAGACACGCCATAGTTACAACGATCGCCAGCACAATCATTATATCGTAATTTATGCATCAGGAGGCGCTCTCAATCCACGACGCCCCCGCCACCCCCGCCGCGCCCCTTCCTGCGGCCTCCACCGCGGCCGCCGTTGCACTACCCGCCCCAGCAGCACCAACAGTCCGTCGAGATGCAGCCGATGGCGGCCGAGTCACGGCCGTATGCGCAGCTGTCGCCCTACCGCTACCCCACGGACGCGCGCAATATCCAGGACATCATCAATTACCTGACGGCAGCGCGCGGGGTCGCCCACGCCGCCCCGCGGCCAGCGGGCCAGGGCCAGGGCCAGGGCCAGGGCCAGGGCCAGGGCCAGGGCCAGGGCCAGGGTCAGGGCCGGGGCCAGGGCCAGGGCCAGGGCCCCGGGGACTTCTTTGTCACCCCCGCGCAGGTGAGTTGGCTCCGATTTTGTCCTTCATCCTTTTAATTTCTCGTATTTACGAAGGTTCTTCGTAAGAAGAAATAGCCATGTATTCGTGCGCCGGAAGAAGGCGCATATTCGACAGAAAATCTCTCATTTCCAGGCCCTGAAACGCACTAGTGGTGCTTACCATCTCAGACTTTCTCGCATTATTGCAATGTTATCGTTCTGTATGAGGTATATAACGTATGTAATGAGGATGCCCATATATGTTTCATTAATTTCAAACAGAAATTGCGCAAAACTACTACCTTTTGCAAAACATTTTACATGACCCTTTTAAGTAGTTAAGTTTGTATAACAGACTTTGTCTGAGGCAAAAAACTTTATCTTCAATTTTGTAGTTTTCATTTTTGGAATTTTAGTAACACTTGCGAGCAATACCCGATTATAGGACTAGCATCATATTTTTTACCGTCCTGTATTACATATGCGGAGAAAGTTTTTAAAAAAATTGGAGAGGTTTTTGAGAAAAAATGCGTAAATTTCAAGCCCAAATTACAGAAAAACTACTCGTTTTTTCAAAAACAATTATACATTACTTTTTTAAAGAGCTAATTTTGTACCACTGACTTTGAGGCTTTGATAAACTATATCTTGTATTATTAAGTTTAAAAAGAAATGCATTTTAGAGGATTTACTCTCCTTTAATATTCGTTAAGTAATATTTCGGTTCTACGATTAGTGAACACACAAATTGAGAAAATTTCAAAAAAATGTACTTTGGGCGGCAATAGATGGCAGCTAGCAAAAGTATCTGGCAAGACAAAAAATCTAGGCCAGACCAAAAGGTAAAAAACTAAGTAGTACGAGAAAGTCTGTGACAATCGTTAACACCACTAGTAATTTACTCATATATATGTTACATTCTGAACACATTTTAATTTACCAATGTCATCTAAAATTTTACGTCATTACTAAAATGCAAACATGGGACATAGAACCTTGCGTTTTGACCATTTAACTACTGTCGTGAGCAGGCAAGGGTCCTTTACAAATTTTGGCTTTTCTATGGAAACAAAGAATAGAAGTATGGTTAATTAAAGTGATTTCTCAAAAAATAAAATAGGATTACACTAATCTAACTTACACGTAACCAATTCCTTATCATTTCATAATCAAGTTAAGCTAAAACTGCTAAATACTTCGTTCTCTTGCGCTGTATTTTGTTTCAGTTTGAAAACATACGCAATATTTCAGCGCGTCTTAGGTACATGTGAGTTTTTCCTTTGGCAATAGAAACGCCATCCTGTAAATGTACTCTCTGATTAGTATGAATTTCAAATTGCTTAATTTTTAGAAGCACATGTAGCTACATTCATGATCTGAAAACAATATAAAATACAACATGAAATTTCGCTACAAATTGTGACGAACCTGCCCGTCAGAATACGTTAGTGACTTACGCTACCGAACCTAGCGGGGGTCTCACAATGTGTCGAGACACGTGAGTGTTCGCAATAGTGGAGGATATCAGGTCGCTCGCGTTAAATTTATTTAGATGTGGGCGCCAAGCGCGATCCTGCCTCCTGAGCCAAATCTTAGAGATATCAAGGGGTGAGTCACTCTAGGTAGAGATAACGTGCATGCTCTTAACTTATTAATTAAAAAAACACTTCCAATTGATTGTGTAAGTGTTGTCCGTCAGAATGGCGGGAATTGCGGGCATTGTTTCATGGACATTTAATGTCTTTGTAACTCCGCAATCCCCTTCTTTGTCCACTAGCGTTACAGTCTTAGAGTCCTAGATTCGCGCTCAAATCGTGCACGCCTGGTGAATAGGCTAGACGAGGGGCAGCGTCATGTCCGTAAAGTTAGCATACCAACTTTTCACAATATTAAAAAATTGTATCCCATAATTTTCTAATTAAAGACTAATTTATATCCAAACATAAAAAATTTCTACTAATGCCCAACATTGAATTAATCAACACTAAAAGTGGTTACGCTAACTTAACGTTAAGTTAGCATACCCACACAAGAAAAACGCATGATACATAAAAACTAAATGTACCAGACGTTTGCCCGAATTATGACTAATTTATACCCAAATTCGAAAATTTTGGAAATTTGTGCAACTTCGAAATATTTAACACTAAAGGTGGGTACGCTACCTTATCGTCAAATTATCATACCTAAACAAGAAAAACGCACGATACATAAAAACTAAATGTACCATAATGTTTTTCAAATAAGCTATTCGCATGATTGATGAAACTTTTCTTCGCGTGCAGCAAATGTTCTCTCGCATGTTCATGCCTATTTGATGGCATAGATATGTTTCTCTCACCATATTCTAAAGGATGAGATATTCGTGGACATTCCATTAAATTTTTGCAGTTTCGGCACATACCGATACCACTAATGTTGCTATATTTCATCCTTTGGCAAACTTAGTGACGTCACGCCTAGAAGGCTTAGATTCCTTTATCTTATACTATTTGCTCGTTCTGTGCACAGTGTGGTTTGCGCAGACTGATGACATTTATTTGCATAATTATTCATTCAAAATTCGCTCTCGCAGCAACAATTATAAGTTTTTGTCGAGATCTGCAAATGCTGTGTACGTAATTGTGGAGGAATAATTGTGTACAGTGAAGAATGAACACGTACCTTCTTAGTTCTGGATTGTGATTTTCTTGTGCCAGTATTTTCGTTATAAGCAGCAATATGGTGAAATATTTGTGTCAACGTGTTCAGCCACGTAGTTTTCTCAAGAGTGAAAAGATTTATTATTATATTTGTGACTATCACGAAAAAACTAACTATCAAACAACATTGAGTAATTACTTCAAATATTTTCAAGAAAGTGTCAATTGGTCCACGAAATCTCAGGATAATACTGAATAAATATTTATTAAAATTTCTTTTCAACATCAATTGCAGAGCTTTTACTTTCTCTTGTACATACGTACATACGGAGTAATGTACGTAATATAGGGTAAATTGTGTAATGCGGCGCAAAACTAGTAGTGCTAAAACAACACATACTTTCTCGCATTTAGTGATAGTTACGAAGTACTTTTTGCACTAGTTATGTAATACATTTTTTTAAATACATTATAGAATTGGAATGATTGGAATTTTAGCTATTCCTTTTCCTTTACATGAAGCCCTTGGGACATTTTAAAAAAATAGCTCCAACGTTTTTGATTAAATTTTATTGTTCGATAGTCATCATCATCCTAAAGGCATTGTTCCTTGTCGCTGCCTCAATGACATTCTGCCCTCCACTGTCCTTTTGGTATCTGGATCGTCTGTTTAATTTGTAATAGGGGTTTGAAGTTGTTGCTAAATTTATATTTTAGGTCTCCCTCTTCCTCGTTTTCCAACTATTTTACATTGCGAAATTGTATTGAAGCATTTGATATGCCTAAAATGTGTTTACAATAAAGTTTTCATATAATATAGGATTGCCGACTAATGCGCCGGCTTCCTCCATACGTTAAGTTGGTTAATAAATTTAGTTATTAAACGCTGCCTCTTTCTTTGCCACAAAAGTCGAAGAGGAGCGGCGTAGGTATCACTCATGATGATAATAAAGGACCGCTTTGTCAGGAACTCAGACACGTTACAACAGCGAAGTTTTAAAAAAATATTGACATTGAACTCAAATATGTCGCTTTTTTGTTGCTAACTTGTTAGACAAAAAATGCCGCTTTTCATTTGATTCTGTTATTAAACATTTGTCTAAGTTGATATCAAGTTAGTTCCGCAATGATAAGAAAACCAAGAAGCTACATAGATTCATAAAAAATAATTACATGTGAATTTATCGGTTTCTTGTTGCTCAATAGTATCTTACTTTTTTTGTCTTTAAATATGCTCCTAGGAAATTCCAAAACATGAGGGCGGCGAGCCCGCCATTTCCCTGGAGCGTCTTTCATGCTGAAGCTTTCTCCTGGCGGGGTTTTCCGAAGCCTACTTTGCGCCTGCCAGCTAATCGTCTGGAGGGTCCTGTGTATTTTTGTAAAGAACAGGTTTCGCTAAAGCTTTGTGAATGAAATAATGCCGGCAGCAGAATCTGCTGTTACGTTTAGTAACCTCCGTTTGGAAATGTTGGGCGTACTTCTTCAAAACTGAATCGGTTATTTTAAAATCCCTGGCAATTACGATTTGTAAAGTTGTGAGAAATAAGAAAAATTATTAAAAAATTAAGAATACAGAAACACGTTTCTTTTGTTTTTTATTTCTGATGCATAAATATTGATTCACAATGCCAGGGAAAGATGTAATTTACTTGTATCAAAAGTACAATAGTCGTTGGACTTTGGTACAATTGTCATTGGAGTTTATGACATACGGGACTTCAAGAACTAATCAGGATTTTTTTGCTTAAACTTGTAAAGAAATACACATCACAAGTTGAGTTTGGAATTTCACACATTTATTACAATATTATGTGAAATGACAATGTGCATATACATCAAGCATGTTTCATATAACAGAAACAATTGCTTGAAATATGTGTTTCTATGATAGTATATAGGAATATTTCCTAGTAATGAATATCCCTTTCAACCAATCTTTCAGTGATAGCTCAGTCATACACACAGTACATGCATACGGACATACATACCCCGCAAGTCAATGACTTATAGTTTCAAAACCAAATCAAAACTTTGCAATGTTCTCACGGCTATTCGATTCATCTGATTTACAGGATTTACACATGGAACGATGCACATATCCTGCAGCTTGTATTTTCTCACCAAAGCAAAACTTTAAAAGAGAGTGACTTGATTTTTTCTTTCTTCTTTGAGATTTGATATTAATTCAGCAAAGGGCTTTGATATATCTAAAAGTATTTACGATTATTGTTGTTTAGTTATTGGTCTACAATATCCAATTATTCCAACTTCATATTGCCTTTAGAAACCCTACAATAACGGCGTCAGGCATGTGATTGCGGATTGATTCCTTGTTTTTTAAAATAAATTATGGATAATGTGAAACAATAGTTTGTCTTCAATGATCAAACTGTGATACTGGGATACTACGGAGAAACTGCGATTGGAAACCTAGTACTTAAACGGAACATTATTTTCTCGTGTTCGTACCAATAAAGCCATACGGAGTAAAATGCATAGTATTGAGAAAATTATGTAATGCAGGAAAATGTGGGACCCTGATATCAGAAAATGAATAAATCATGTTCCAATATGTATAGGAAATTACTTCCTCTAACGTGTTATATAGTCTGTCATTAATTGTAAGAGCTTAATAATTTTTTTTCAAAACGTCCGTTCGTCTGTCCATCTTGAACAACTCTGGCAATGCTATTTGTGTACATTATGAATATTCCCTTGTCCCTTTATTCTTCATAACAAATTCAGGAAAGGATTCGCTCTTTCTGCTTTGAGTTGCATTTTAAGCTGATCCCGTGGTATTTGCAATTATAGTAAATAACTGATTTCAAAATAATTTTCGTTGTTTATAAATTAACGTCACGCAAATTCTAAGAACTAGGCGCGGGTAATTCCGTTGTTCGTTTTGGGGGTGCGGCTGGCGTATTTCCTCATACGTCACAAGGGCGCATCCTGCGTGGGTTGCGCTTAACAAAGTAGGCGTATTCCTCCTTTCTCTCGGCACGCTAAGCGGCTTTCCCAAGTTAAGCAGGAAACGGCACTTCCGGCTGCTGTTAACGGCGGCGGATATTCTTAATTAAATAAAATATTTTGTTCGTGTCGTCATCGGCTATGGGTGACCATCCCATTACACTCGATTGCAATTTTTTTAGATCCCCCTCACGTCGCTAATATTTATATTACCGGCTCTTGGTATTCATTATTTCATTTGACAGTAGACGTGTAAATTATGTCTTGCAATGATTCTCAAAAACTGAAAAGATTTCGTGAAAATGCGGTCAAAATTACGCGTTTGAAGAAACGAAACATTTTATCAAAAATGCTTCCGAAATAGTTGGTTTCATTTTTTGAACAGATAATGTTAAATGAATTGTATAACATGAAACAAATACCACTTTGACCTTTTTTAATATAAGATAAATTGTTGGTCTTCAAGTTCGCATTTACGGTGATGGTTTTATATCAACGAGACTTGTTTTGGGAAAAATAATTAGCCTAAAAAAGCGTCAAATTTTGAGTTTAATTTCAATATTGTTTGAAAACTATGCAGTTGTAACTTTAAGGAGCTCTCGTCCGAGCTACTGGCGAGGGA